CCCCCCCACCACATCCCACATCGGCGCTCCCACCCCACGCGCTGCACCGCCCAGCACAGTCCGAGCCTCGTGGGCGCGGCGCTCTTGGCTGGGTGGGGTCTCGGGGAAGAGGACTACGCTGTGTCCCAGAGCAGCAGAGCCGGGCCTGTGGCCCCACAGTCCCGGGGGCCCGGCCCCGCAGTGTCTTTGTCACCCCATCTCCTGCTCCTTGTTCTGGGTTGCCCATCGTCCTCAGTCTTCCCCTCCTGCTGTCCTCATCCTTCTGCCTCTCCCACCCAGCAACAGCTGCACTGCCACTTGGCCTGAAAATGGGGGACCACAGCAGGTACCCACTGCCCTTCTGCATCTGGGGGTCTAACTCCCTCAAGACCACCTCTGACCTTCCTCCTCGACTCCTCCATCCTCTGGTGGCCTTGCCGCTCCCCTGCCAAGAAAGACAGGGCTGAAGAAGTCTGTGTCCACCTTGGTCCGCTGGTCCTTGGCTCCCTGGGTCAGCGCGACCACTTGGCTTCTTCCCGGACTGGGGGAGAGGTAGGCCAGTAGCGGGAGGGACAGGGGCTGAGAGCTGTGCCCAGAGGTGAGGTGTGGAATCTGGCTCAGAGCCCCAGCCCCCTCCCTCCACACGTCTGGTAGGTATTCGGGTCTAAAGGGCAGGAAGAGGCTGAAGGATGCTTTTTGGCAATAGCTCTAACTAAGGTGGGTAGAGGCATGGCCATTGCTGATAAAAATCAAAGGTGGGCCCCGAGTGAGCCGAGGAGGCGCCTCGATCAGGCCCTCACCTCCCAGGGGAAGGGGTCAGGGTCCCTGATGTCAAGTGCTTTGAAGGCCAGAGTGGCAGAGTAGAGAGGGGGTGGGCAGGAGGGCGCGCTGGAGAGAAGGGGGAGACAGACGGGGAGGCGTCGGCCCTGGAGACGCCGCCTCCCGGCCCCTCCCTGGGGCGGTGGCCCGCGCGTCACAGCTTGGCCCCCTTGGAGGGCTCCGAGGACTGCCGCACGTCTGTCCACTCCTGCATGGTGCTCTGCAGGGCCTGGGTCTTCTCCTTGTCCACTTGGACGTAGTCCACCTTCTCGTCGGAAGTGACTGATGACGTGGATGGCTGGGGGACAGAGCGGGGAAGTGAAGTGGCTGTGAGTTATCAGTAACGCGGGGAGCGGGCAGGCGGCTCTTCCTGAGTCGTTTCCCGGGAGAGGAGGTGGGGCTCTACATAGCTGCCTCTCTGACCTGCCTTTTCTTTCTGAAAGTGGCCTGTAAGGCCTGAACTCCAAACCGTACCTTCCCTCCGGTTTGATGCAACAGCCCCTGCCTGCCGTCCCGATGTCCCAGCTCCTGGGGGGACCCAGGCCCTTCCTTGGCCTGATGGATGGCTCCAGGCTTTCACCTACGCCTCTACCCACCTCCCTGTGGCCACTTGTTCAGGGGAAGGACTGTGCCGGGTGCCAACAAGCACCAGCCACAGGGCTTTGTGTGTGGCTCGCGGTGAGCACACACAGCCACCCTGTGTGGGACGCTGTGCCGGGGCTGCTGTCTGGACTGGGCAGCTAAGTGTGCTTCCTGAGGGGGGCCTTTCCCGGGCCCGGAAGCCCTTCTGCAGGCTGCACCTGGACAGCGAGTTCTCAAAGAAGAACTCGGGACCAGGACACAGGATCCCCGGGTCTCGGCTCTGTCGTGGATTCACACGTGACCTCGAGCAGCTCGTGTCTCCGTGTGCATTCGTTCGCCCATCCGCACGACAGGGGGGGTGGGCTGACGGATGCGGTCCTACGGGCTCAGGGTACCTGTGTGCTGAGAGTGAGGGCGCGTGAGCCCCCGGAGACCCAGGCTACGGCACGGCCCAGTCACAGAGCAGAGTGCCGCTGGCCTGCGCTGAAGGCAGCTGGCCTCCGGGACCCCTGCCCCAGGGCCACCAAAGCCCGGACTGACCCCGCCCGCCCGCCCCAGGCACCTTGCGGTGGGGACTTGGGGAGCTCGGCTGGAAGTCCAGGGCCAGATAATCCACGCTGCCAGCGCTCTTCTTAGGGGCCGGACTGTTGGTGCCACTGGGAATGGGAGATGCAGACACTGGGTTTTGCTATCACAAAGGAGAGAAAGACCGTTAGTTAGTTTAGGAAACAGATTAACCCACCACGGGGAAGAAAACACCTCTGGGAGTAAGGGCAACTAACTAGCTCAGTGAGTGCGACTCTGTGCCCTGCGCTGCGCCGGGGACTTCTCACGTTCTTGTCTAAGCCCTCACAACAATCCTGTGACGTAGGTATTATTACTGTTCTTATTTTTTAAAACGAAGATAAAACTCTGGTTCGGAGAAGTAAAGCGACTTGCCCGTGGCTGCACAGCTGGTGAGCAGGGATGACTACCCCGCTGTGCCACGCTGCCTCCCTTCCAGGGCATCAGGCCGCGTCTCACCTGTGATCTCCCGGACAGACCAGCCCCTGCTTGCTGGCCCCAGGAAGGGAGCACATGTCCTTTACGCACTGCACTGGACCCTGGAAAGGTTTCTGTTGCACCAGATCTGCTTCTCTGGGGCTCTCACCCATGGCCCGGAGCGGGGTTGTCACACCGCAGCGGCCTGTCCCTCCAGCCCCAGCTCCTCAGGGGTCTCAACAGAGGGGCCTCATCCCCAGGCGGCACAAAGCCCCAGTCCCTCAGCAGCTCTCAGAGGACATGCTCCACGGTCCCATCTCATCCAGGCATCAAGACCAACTTGTCTGGCACTTTCCTGAAGACACCTTCTAATGAGAAATGCAATAAATAGTCCTATGCTCTTTTTTTGTTTTTTGGCTGCTTTATTGATTGGTAGATTTGTTCTATTTATGCAGCAACTACCAGGTGCTGGGCAGCTACTCCCTTTGCACTGGGAAATCTCAGGGGGCAGAACCCTGTGTTTATTCCCTCCGTGAGGGCCTTCACCACACCGAGTGATGCACACGTGCGCTTCCCCAGCGCTGAGTGGGGTAACACACACTCAATAGACACTTATACTCCCATACCTCCTCATGGTCATGGGAACAACGGGTTAAGGAAATGAAGAGATCTTTTAGTTTTGAAAGATTTTAACAGGATAGAACAAGGAAGTTAATTTTGAAGGCTGCTCTAGCTCTTCTCTACAGGCCCCTGATGACTATTCTGAAACACCAGCTAACCACTTGGCCTGCTAACTCCCTCCTGCCGCAGGACCAGTGCAGACTTCCCAAGACAGCATTCGGGGTCCTTCAATGATCTGACTCCAGTCCAACCTCCACGCCTGCCCACTCCACCTTCACCCAGAGTTAATGACCATCATTCTCCATGTTCCTGTCTGCACGGCCACTCCACCTCAGCGCTTCCCCTTTCCCTAGTCTGGTGTGATCGCCCATCCTGAGGGTGCGTCCCTGCAGCGCCGCCTCTCCAGGGACACCGACCATGCCACCTGTGTTACAGTCGTGCGAGAGGCAGGCCTTCTCTGCCCCTTAAGAGAGCAGCCTCCTTGAGGGCAGGGACCACGTCTTCCTTGCCTCTGACGATGACCCCACAGTGCTCGACACGTATGTGCTCAAGACAGATTTGCAGCAGCAAACTAAGTCACAAATAATGTGGGTGCCCTGAGGCCGGGGTGAATTAGGGAGCTGGGAAGTGGGGGAGTGAGAGGTGGGTTCCAGGGGACCCCAGAGGACTCACCATAGGGACGTAGTTCTCTTCGCTGTCTCCCGAGTCCGTGCTGGTGATGCTCTGTGTGGAGATGGGGCGGCAGTACTGGGTGGATCCCGGGTTGAAGGAGTGGCTGTGGGGAGAAGACAGGGAGTAAACCCTGGGGAACATCCAGCCTCCCGCCGGGCCCTGGCCCTCACACCCCCAGACAGACCTCTCTGCCCTCCATTATCAGACTAAGATCGGATACAGAGCGGGGACAATTTTTCTCCCTTCACAGAAGAAGAAAACCAAGCCCTGAGCTACCAACAGCCATCAGCAGCAGGACGCAGCTTTCCTGGCACACAGCCTAGTGACCCATTCCATTCACCAACCTGATGGCCCTGTTCCAAGTTCCCGTGTCCACAAATAGACACTTACATGGCCCTGGACCAAGACTTGGTGATGGGTGACTTGAAGGGGAGCTCATCGATGACGGTATTGTTTCTCAGGTCAAGTGGTGTTGGCTTTGCTGCGGCAGGAACAGAAAGTCGAGTCATCAGCCAATGATGATAATGCCACACATACGGACACTTACACGTGACACACAGGTGCATTTATGAATCACTCCTATTCATCCCAGTTGTTCAGGGGGAGACTGAAGCTCTCAGCAAGGTTACACAATCTCTGCCCATGTTGACAGGCCCTGAAGCCATGTCTTCAGATTCCAAATTTTATATTCTTCGCACCGTTCCTACGGTAATCGTACTTTCGGAACCTAAAGTGGGGACACAGGGTGTGACAACAGACTGTTTTCCCTGGATTTGTGACTGCATATGAAAACAAGAGACGATATATGAAACATCATAGAGAAGGCCACCATGACTGCCCCCTGCCCACCAGGACTGTGGAGCCTTCAGTGGAGGAAGGTGAACGTCACAAAGTCCTGAAGGCTTCAGTCCAAATGCTGAGATCTGCACTCTCTGTTGGCCAGCCCGAAGGGGGCTTAGGTCTGTCCAGTGACTCTGCTTCTCCCTTTGAATCCCTGCCACTGATCCAGGCCTGCAGAACCTGACACTTGCACTGCAGCACTTATTCCTGGTGTAAATGCAGAGGGCACAGAGCTAACTTTGCTGAACACCTGCCATGCACCAGAGTCAGTGCCCTAGATGCTTTCCTTCTCACCAAACCCGGAAGGCAGGCATGACTATCCCCACTTCACAGATAAGAAAACGGAGGCTCAGAGAATTTACATGATCTACTCAAAGTCACACACCTAGGAAGTGCTGGGTAAGGATTCCAACCCACATCTACCTGGTTTGAAAGCTCAATCCTTTCTATTATAGCACAGTGTATCTTTTCATGGACTGCTCTGTCAGTTCTACCTTGCCCAGCCCCAGAGCTAATACAAATTCTCATCCTTGAATTACATCTCATACGTTATGAAGCACTTTTAGATATATTATCTGTCCTTCAGTGTCTCTTGGAGGCACGTTTTACACTTCCCATTTCACAGATGAGAAATAAGGCACAGAGACATAGGATGATTTGTTTATAATCACATGTTAGCAGGTGGCGGGGCTGGCACCTGAATCCATCCTGTCCTTCTGATTCCTGCACTCTTTCTGCTCATCAAGGCTCCTCAAGAGCCAGTCCCTAGGGTGCCAGACCACTGGGATGAATCTGGTGTGTGTGTGTGTGTGTGTGTGTGTGTGTGTGTGTGTGTGTGAGAGAGAGTGTGTGTGAGAAAGTGTGTGTGTGAGTGAGAGTGTGTGTGTGTGTGATAAAGTGTGTGTGTGTGTGTGTGAGAGACAGTGTGTGTGTGTGTGTGTGTGAGAGAGAGAGAGAGAGTGTGTGTGTGTATGTGTGTGTGTGTGTTTGGGTTGGTTTAGGTGCCAGAGGCTGCCACTCCCTTGCAAGAAAAGTTTAGGATCCACCTGATCCCTAAATGAATGCTAACAGTCCCTGAACATTGTCCAGAGATGGAACGAGGAAACAGTGGACTTACCTTTCCGGTCAGGTTTGAGGTTGCGGTTGACGGGGGGTGGCTGGATCTCACTCCCTCGGCTGGAGCCTCGGTGCATAGGAAGGGCTGAGGTGGGGTAGCCAAGTGGGTCAAAGTGATGGGGCCCCGGGCTCATGGGGATGTAGACACTCTGGGAATTATCACCTGCTCGCTCCAAAGCCAGCAGGGTGGAGGAGCCTGGATTCATAGGCACGTAGTTGTCTTCGGAATTGGTGCTATCCGATCGGCCTACAACTGTTTTCCCTGGCTAGGAGAGAAAAGAAATACTGCTGTTACTAGTGACAGGAAACAAGGAGGGGTGAGAATTTGTACACAAGGCAAGGAAAGACTGAGTTGGGTGTACTGTGAAGCTATAAGGCAGACCCTGGGAAAAACAAATAAGCAAGCAGAGGAGGAGACAGGAAGAAATGAGGTCTGTGGGTCTCTTCTAGCTTCCATGATCCCTTGGAGCTTACTTATAACTTGTGATAAATCTTTACTATAAAATATCCATGAGGCGTTCTGAATGCCTGACCAAGCAGAGCTTTGGTTCAGGACCCTCCCTCTTCCTCAAGTCCGGACTCATCACTGGCAGGTCAGCACCTGCCACTGGCAGGACAAGGAGCCTAAGAGAAGCCTTGGCCCTGGCAGGTGAGGTCTGGGTCAGGTGTGCTTCCCCAACCCGGCTTTCACTGTGACTGCCAGGCTGCAGTCAGAGCTGCCACAGGGCTGTACCACGCAGCCACCCTGGCCACAGCCTTCCTTTAACTCCTGCCTTGTCTTTCCAGACACACAGCCAAGCTGCTTTTGCTTCAGTTACCTGATTTCACAGTCCTTCCAGTGGGCCTGAAGCCAGGCCCTAGTCAGCTTAGCTGGGCCCGACACCTCGGAGAACTGTCATCAGCCCCCTCCTCAGGGCAGCCTGGGACCCTGCGCTCAAACCATAATTCTGCCACTGAGCCTGACTCTGAGCACCACCCCTGCCTGGTGAGACCTCACGGTAAGGATGCTGCCTTAGAGCCGCCATCCCAGCGCCTGGGTCCTCTGCATTATGGACCCTTCCTGCTTACCCACAGTGATGAGCCTTACAGGCTAGTGCACCTAAGTACACACACTTCTTCCAGATCAGGATACCTGCCTCTTACTTTCCAAAAACTCAACCCAGGGTTCTGAACTGAGACAAGAATCCAGGCAGGCTCCTAAGAGGGAGATGCCATCATGCTTTGGGGCTGTGTTTTTCGTTCCATGCCTGTGACCTTTAATCCACCTGAGCTGACTTAAGGACCCCTGGCTAAACCCCACTCACCAGAAAAGCACTGACTGCATCACTCATGGACTCGGTGGACCGGCCTGCATTGTCTCCACCACGTTGCGGGTAGTCGTAGGACTCGCAGGAAGAAGCTACGACAGAGGAAGGAAGATCCACGTGGACTCACTGGAGTCAATCCCTGTGTTGACACTTCCCCACACCCTCACCAGTGCGGCTCAGAGTCCTACTGATACTCCGAAGATACTGCTCCCAACCCCTAATGATAAGGGATTGCTTCTATCATATCACTCCTCAGCTCACAAGTTCCTCCCAGGCTTCTGGATGTAGCTCCAGTGTTAGCGGGTGCAAAATGAAAGGAATTAATATTATTCTACTTTTTCATCAAACAGAGGAGGTTATATGCAGAGTTGGAACACTCTCAGCGGGAAATCAGCAACAGAACTTAATACTTCAGACAGACGTTCAGACTTTAACCAGAGACTCAAATGTGGCTTAGAAAATATTTTGTAGATTTGATTTTAAAAGTCTGTTGGTCCACATAGGTTTGGCTCCAGTTTGGACTAGGCTTCTAAATTTATTTTTGAAATCTTTGGTTTGATTTATAAATGAATAAAAGCCTGTGATTTGGCCTTCTAAACCCATAATATGTTGTTCTGTGGTTAACCAAGAATGTTCTACCTCCTTAGTAGAACAGTAACGTCTCTCAGGCAGGGTCTGCTAAACTCTTGCCGTTGTGGTGCCCACTAATAGCCTCCAGTGCTGGAGGACAAACTAGGAAAGGTCTGGGAAGAAGACACCTAAACCTGTATCACAGGTCCCCTGGGTGGGACTTAAGTCTCCTTGGCAGGGATGACCAAGAACCAGCACACTACTGAGAACCCCTGTGCTATCTCCCTTCCCCCCCGGCCTCAGCAAGGGCTCACACTGACCTCGGTGAAGTCGGCTGTTGTCCATGGCTGGGAGGGTATTGCGCCTGGGGATGGTTGCAGCGGCGGAGGCCGATCTGCTGCTATCACCGACTGGAGGCCTCTGCTGAGGGCTGCCCCATCGAGGTGTTTCTGCCTGACTTGGCTTGGGGGGCCGGGGTGGGGGGGCTACGGCCGAGTCCCCAGGAGTGGCGACTGCCATGGTGTTGTGGTTCTTGTCCAGTGTGAGTGTCCTAGGGATCTGGTAGGCTGAGAGTGGGGTGGCCGGAACATCCATATTATCCACCAGGAGGTCCCCAAACTCACGGCACAGGGTGTTGCTGGGCATCTTGAAGGTGTACACATCCTCGTTATCCGTCTCAGAGCCTGTGAGGCTGCCCTTGGTGTGGCCATGGGAGGCCAGGCTCCGGGGGAGGTCGTAGGTACTGTCTCTGAATTCTGTATTGTGCCTGCTTGGCTTGGGGAGGCTGGAGAAGCCGTGGACTTGACCGCTGACCCCGTTGACGCAGTGTCCGTTGCCCTGGGCAAGTTTTTGCACGGCCGTGTCGCTCCTCATGAGAAACGAGGCCCTGGTGCCCTGAGAGAAGCTGGCGCTCCTAAGAGACAGAAAGAAGGGGGTGCGGGGGTTAGAGGAGGCCAGGGCTGCCCACCAGCGAGGCAAGCGGGCCTGTTCAAACCCTGTGCAGCTAGGTGGTGTGGAACACACAGGCTGAGGAGGCTGGCAGGCCTGAGGGTTATCTGGGCAAGGCACGTTTTCTCTCTGAGCTTTAGTAAATGCGTCTGCAAAAGTGGTGATTAAAATCATGCTTTGAAAGTTGCTTAGAAATTGGACTCTAATGTATCTAGTAAGTATATGTTCAGCGTTAGCCTTTATCCCTTCCCCTACTCCCAAATGGCTGTGATTAGCAGAGGTTGCTCTTACCTCCCCAAATACATATCAACAAGCTACTTATACCACACACTTATTGTTTTAAGTGCCACAAAATATACGCATTTGTATACAAAGGCTGTGAGACAGCAGAAAGAACCCTTAAGTTGGTATCAGAAGATAGCAAGTCATTTTATCTGAGTCTCAGTTTTCCCACTGTAAAACAAGTCAGCTAATGTACTGTTCTAAGTTATACAGAACTATTCAAATGTAAGCCATAGATTTATTTTCCATCATTGATTATGGTTCATTGAGAGGCATTGAGAGGGGAAAGTATCTCTTTCCAGGAGACTAAAATTCTACAGGAAAAATGTTTTCCTGTTTGGGAACTATATTCAGGACAGAAAAGGTTTTGATTAGTACTTTTTAAAAATTCATGTTTGGGGGAAATGACATTAAAAAAGTAAAACGATCTGGGCGGGGGCGGGGGGGGGGGCGAAGGGATTTGTGCAGGTTCCATTTCCGCCACTGATATGCTCTGTGGGCTTCACCAAGTCTCCTTCCCCAAGGCAGGACCTGGTGAGTCTCAATAGCTCTTAAGGGTCCATCTGGTTCTGAAAGTCCACAACCCTTTGGGTGTATTAGCGGGGTTTCCAAACTGGATTCTGTGTTCTGCATAGGTGCCTTAGGAAATTAGAAGGTGATGTTCTGAGCAAGTAGAGATTCAGGTCTGCTTTTCTCTCTCTTACAGTATGATTCTTCATAGGATTCCATTTGGGGAAAATAAAGGAATCACTATTCTAGAACTACCATTCAGTGGTGATTCTCAGCTTTTTGGAGGCTATATGCCTCTTTAAGAATCTGATTAAAAGCTCTTGGCACTTCTCACCAGAGTAAGGCAAGTCTCACATACATACAAATTTGCATGCTATCTCTAAGGGTGGTGGGCAGCTCTTAACCCACCGAGGCCAATCCATGGAACTTCTGTCTTAAACAAGCTCTCTCAGCTCATGGGGAGCTTGTTATTTGTGGATGTGGCCACCAGATGGTGATAGAAAATAAGGCCCAGCAGCTTAGAAAGAGGAAGGGAAACAGGTGTCTAAGCAGCCAAGCTCTCTCTTGTGTAAACTTGCATCCTTGATGGCTAGGACTTCCATTTCAGCCCCCAAACCTTCCGCGGCCCTCCTCTCTGGTCCTCCGTATTCTCTCTCCCTTCCTATTTCATTCCACATGCATAACCAAGGTGACAGGCATGGCCTAGATCATTGAACATCTAGCCTTTAGATAACGAAGTGCCTGGAACAGAGGACCAGGGAGCCAATGGTAGACATAAGGTGTTCACATGGTTCACATCTGTCCGAATTTCCAATGCTGGTGGATGCCCTATCTGGATTTGTTCATTTAAAACACATTTACGGATGTCCTACTTTCCACCCGGGCCAGGCACAATGGATACAGAGAAGCCTCCTGCCCTGGGGGAGGGGGCACAGTGGTAGAGGAGTTGACATGCATGCAAATCTTTTTGTTTTTAAATATATTTATTTTTGGCTGCATCGGGTCTTGGTTGCTGTGCGCGGGCTTTTCTCTAGTTGTGGCGAGCAGGGGCTACTCTTTGTTGTGGTGTGTGGGCTTCTCATTGCAGTGGCTTCTCTTGTTGCAGAGCATGGGCTCTAGGCGTGCAGGCTTCAGTAGCTGTGGCTCACGGGCTCTAGAGTGCAGGCTCAGTAGTTGTGGCGCATGGGCTTAGTTGCTCCGCGGCACGTGGGATCTTCCCGGACCAGGGATCGAACCCTTGTCCCCTGCATTGGCAGGCGGATCCTTAACCATCGCGCCACCAGGGAAGTCCCTTTGCGTGCAAATCTTATCATCAAGCCAGTGAGTAAGCGGCTGTTGACAGATTTATACCAACCCTCCCTGGTGGTGGTGGTACAGAATGTCAGCGGAGGCTTCTCCAGAGATGTCACCTCTGACTGACTCTGGCAACTGGCCTGGCATAAGGCAAGAGAAGGGAAAATGTGTTCCAGTTAGAGGGACACAGAAGTAGAACACAATCTGGCAAGTTCAAGGAACCGCAAGCTGCTCAGGCTGGAGCAAGTGCATTAGGAGGCGGGGCTGAGAGATGACCTTGGAGGGGCCAGGCCTGGGCTGATGAGAACGGGAGTCCTTGAAAGATTTTAAGGTGGTGCAGGGGTGGGGAGAGCATTGCAGGTATACTGCAGTCACCTTAAACATATGCAAGAGTGAACTCATCATCTTCCTCCTGACTCTCCAGTTTGGGAAAGGCACCAGCCACTCAAGCCGAAACCTGGAGTTACCTTATGATTTCTCACTCAATAATCACATCAGGTCCTATTGAATCCACCCCAATTCAGGTCCTCCTGATTTTCTTCTGCAATAATGAAAGGGGTAATAACTCGTCTCCCGACCATCAGCCTCTTTATCTGATGCTCTTTATCCCGCTCACATTTACTTTCTTAACTTCCCAGCTTAACCATTTTCAAAACTGCCTCAGTGCCTTTAGGACCGAGTCATATTCCAACACCAACTCACCTCTCCAATCTCTCCTCCCCAGTTCCCCTTCCCACTCTAGGGCCTACTCAGTCAACTGCCCAGGTGTTCCCATATGCCCCAGGCAGTCAGGCCTCCGTGCCTTGCTGTGTTGTTTGCTCTCTCTAGAAGTCCTCTTACTCCAGTCTGGCAAGCTCATACTCAGCTCAAATGCCACATCTTCTGAAGCTGTTTCTTACATCCTCTACCTCCCAGCGCAAGCAATCACTTGCTCAACTCTGTTCTTGGAGCAGGCAGCAATTGTTATCTGTGTTACTTATCTCCTGCATCAGACTGTGATTTCCTTGAGGAAAGAAGAAACTGTGTCTTATTCATTTCTCTCATCTGCACCGGGATCAGTGCTTGTCACATAGTAAATACTGAATAAAGGTTTGTTGAATAAACAAGCAAATGAATGTATAAATGAACAAACCAAGAAAGAAAAGCTTTGGTGCTGCTGTGCCCTTTCCTGAGCTTGGCCTGAACCCTCTGGAGCAGCAGATTGAAACCCCTCCTCTTTAGAACACATGAGCTCATGTCCCAACCTCCCGCTGTCGTGGCGTCTCCTCTCCAGTCACAGAACTACTTGCTCATCCCTAAACACGCTCCCTGAGCTCCAGCCCTGGGCTTGCATAATTTACCTTTCTCTGGAATGTTTCCCTGATGCATCAAAATCTTACACGAAGTGCCAAAGAAGCCTTTTTGCTCCACAATGGTGTTTTAGGTCCTCTAAGTCTCCTTGTCACTTTACTCACCCCTCCTCCTCTGCTCCCACAGCACTCTGCTTCCATCACAACACTCATCTTGTGTGAAATTTATTTCAGTCTGTGTCTTTCCACTTCTACCTGACCCTGTGCTTCTAGAAGGCAGGGCACCATATCCTGTCCCCTGTCATAGTTCCTGGCATGTGGTAGATGATCCCGATGCACGCTGAGGGGGACTGACCATTACTTCAAGAATCAGGTGAAAGGAGTTGAACAAGGGAAACAAACTTGCCCAAATGTATACACTTGGATGGTAGCAGAACTGGTTCCAGCACCCAGGCCCCTGGACTCCCTGCCCAAAACCCACACGGCTACAGTGTGCTCCCCTTTGGACAAGAATCAAGAGGGGGAATTCTGAGCACTTAGAAGTCCTGCGGCCTTTACTGCTTTCATGTAGGCCTTTACTGAGGCCTGTGCCACCATGATGTGCTGAGCTGCTTTCTGGGACAGATACCTGGAAGCAGTGGATTTGGAGAAAGGTTTCTCTTCCAGGGCTCTGGGCTGACAGAGGCCTCATAAAATGAGCACAGTACTGTGCCAGGCACATCACATGTGATGTAGCTTTTAATCCTCCTGACAGTTCTGAGAGACAGGTATTACCCTCACACATCCGGTGAGGAGAAACAATAAATGGCAGACATGGTGCCAGAAGATACTCGAACACAAGTGTATAGGGGAGCTCCCTGCGGGCAGAGAGAAGTTTGGGAGAAAATGCTCCCCCAAGCCCAGCAGCTTTTCCTTTCCATTCGTGGCTCCCAGCTGCTCCCAGAGCCGCAGCTGGATGGGGCTATCACACCACCACTTGTACATGCTTTGGTTTTAATATCAACCCAAACCTCTCTCTTGGCTATTAGGAATGCTTTCCTAGTTTTTCCCAGCCACTTTATTTTGCACTTGCTCTTTTGTACATTTTCTCATGTTATGGTAACGTACTACACCACAATTTCACTCCTTCCACTCTACAAGATGCCAAGTACCTTATAACAATAAAGGGCCAATTTAATTTTTTTTTCTGCTATTTTTTTACATTGGAGTATAATTGAATGCTTGTACGTAAATTAGCCACCATTTAGAGTTCTGTACCTGTCACTGGCAATCCTAAGAGGTCATTTGGACCATCCTTCTGTATCTGACTCATTCCAAGTGGATCCTTCCTGTGAGGGAAGAAAACTCAGAAAGTTCTGTCCCACAATCTCTAAGAGGTGAGGTGATCTTTGTAGCTCAGACTCTTCTGGCTGCAATATTGAGCCTGCCTTCTCTCTGTGGTTACAGAGAGAAGCTGTATATGTGAAATTAAATGAAGGTAAAAGCTGTATATTCTGCCTTTGGTCAATCAAAGCCACTGGGAGAATGAGCCTTAGAAATGATTATTCACGGGTAAGTTCTCCATTGACATTTCTGATTTTACTTTTTACCC